AAATTCCCAAGTTTTTCATTCTATAGGAGCTACATAGATACACTATTACAGGACACTGCAGAATTGGTTAACTAGGAAACGTTAAATACGAAATTTCCGAATTATCCTTATCTATAATCCTTTTTTCTACCTCTTACCCACATTGCATACCTACTTGTCGTTGTTTATTTATTTTTTCGATTTTCGGCCGGATCTTCGTGGTCCTTCGAATTAATCGGGCCCAACGGTCAAGCGGCAGACGACTTCAGGGGCAAAGGGGGCCACACCGCCCTTCGGTCTCGTCGTCGATTGTCACCGCGGCCCCATAAATAACACGCGCGGACTCGTCGTCTGATGCAGAGGGACCGAACGCGGCACCCGGTCTCGTTTACATAAATTTCCGAGGGCCCCACTAAATCGGGGCCACCGATTGATTGTCGGCGGCGATCGGCGGGTTCGCGGAATCCGCCGGACGACGACGGGGCACAAAAGCCGACGACGACGTTTCGGCCATGAATTATGCACCGATGCCCGGCCTTTCCTAATTAGTCCTGTATGATTATACGATTTTAGCACCTAGCTCGTCAGCGACAGAAAAAAAGGTTTTAATGTCTAATCTTGTCTTTGTTTAAGATAATTCCTTTATTTGAGAAGGTGCGAAAAGTTACATTTTTAAGTAATCAACAGATGATATTCACGAATAATTAAAAACTAGGTACCTATTTATCCAATTTACAAATAGAAATAGTAAAATTTTGACTAATGTTTCAGTCAAAAGTTCTATTTTTTTTGGTATTAGCCAGACTGGTTTTTACTTGTTGGAGCAATAATACTAATCTTTGTATACTATAGACTATACCGGTTGCGTCTCAAAAGTGGCTCACCCCTATAACTTTTTTATTTTTTCAGATAACAAAACGAGATTTGGTATGTTAGTATATGACATAAATTAGGATTGATTGACGTATTCAATTGTTTTGGTCACTTCCTGTTTTACCGGAAATGACTACAACTTTTGATTTTTAAATGACACCCTCGGTATTTTTTACTTTATTCAATAGAAAATTACATTCTGAATAGAATAACTCATCATCCAACCAAACCAAACTTTTGACATTTTCGCTTAATAAAAAATCGTATTTTAAAATTCAATCTAGAGTGCCATGGCTATGTTATAAACACTAATTCTTACTCAAGGAGACTTGGAAAAATAGATTTGATCGTCTAATGTTTTTAGTGTCTTGTCCTGGCCAGTTAGAAAATGCTCAAATCGTATTTTTAATCATATCTCAATTTTTTCAAATGGAACGAGGGTGGCTCATTAGCATATTTGGAAAAAGCATTTTTTACGAATAATTTGATATACCACACTTAGTATCTCGAGTCAAATTTTCGTTACGAACCGTAAGTTATAATTCTAAATAAACCATATGCGAAAATGTCAAAAGTTGACATGTCATTCTATTCAGAGTATTATTTTCTATCCAATAAAGTAAAAAAATACCGAGGGTGCCATTTATAAATCAAAACCAGGGCCGGCGGAAGGGCCGGGAGAACCGGGCGGCCGCCCGGAGCGCCGGATGTGAGGGGCGCCACAACAGCAACTAAAATATTTAAAAACAGTAATCTAAACAAATAGTAACGAATATCCAATTCAATAATTAATCGGTACTATCAATTTCCACATTAACACATTAGCTATTACCACACCACATAGGGAAGAATATCTGACTAAACATTATAAACACTATACTATATCCTAGATGTATCCTATTAATAGTTTACTGAAATTATTCTCAAAAAAATCCTTAGCACGAAAGCTTTGGGATAGTTTTGATTTCTTCTATTCTATATGTTTTTTGAGTGCTCTATCCGAAACTGGAATTTGCGAATTCATTTTTGTGGAAGAATATTAAACAAAATTAAATAAAAAAAAATATAAATCGGATTTGTTCGTGGCATTTTTATAACTCAAAAGCTAACAACTTTTTATAAATAATCCTTCTTTCTATAATTCTCGTTTTTATAAATTTCTAAACAAACTGTTTTGGGTCAAGGGCCAGCAAAATTAACAGTTTTAGACTGACCGCTCAAAATTGCACTTTTCTACTATTCACACCCTTTATTTGTTATTATTAATGGCTGATATACCCTAAAGTTATATGGGGAAATATTCATTCGCAAGAAGCTGAAGAGGATCCTGATATCCTGATTATCAAAAAAAAAAACCTAGGGTACTCGCCTAGTCTCAATAATTTCCTTCCGCCGGCCCTGATCAAAACTTGTAGTCATTTCCGGTGAAACAGGAAGTGACCAAAAACAATTGAATACGCTCATTCAATCCTAATTTATGTCATATACTAACATACCAAATCTGGTTTTTTTAACTGAAAAAATAAAAAAGTTATAGGGGTAAGCCACTTCTGAGACGCATCCGGTATATGATATAAAAAATTACTTATTTGCTCAAAATTATTGTTTGAATTTAATGCAAATAGTGTTTTCCCTACTTTTGTATAAAATTTTATGGAAGCAATGATGATTCAATATACAACTCAACATTAAGTGTGCAAATACAATAAGACTCACCTTAAATAAGTGCAAATATTTTTAGGGGTGGTATATTTCGACCTCAGAAACACTCTATGTGTTTTTTTTCGCAAAAATTTTGTTTTGAAAATTTGAAATTTTTTGATTTTTTTTTTAAATTTTTAGTTAAAAAACATAATAACTACATAATATGGCAACGTAACTAGTAGATTAAATTTCTAAGAAAGAAAATCCAGAAAAGATCAAGCGGTTGTGAAAAGATAAGCAAAAATAAATTTTTTAAATTTTCAAACTAAAATATCTCGGTTGTTTTAAAACCAAAAATTTTATTTTTGCTTATTTGAAAAACGGTAAAGAGAAAATGTTTCTTTTATCGAGATCTACGAACCCTGAAAATATTTTCACTCATTTAAGACTCACCCTGTATATTGAAAAATAAAAATTTTCATCAGACAAATATTGTTCCTTTCTTTAAAGTTTCATTTGCATTAAATTATCTGAAAACTATTTATTTAAAGATATTCTGCATTAATTTGTACAAAACTTGCAAGAGTTTGCAGTAAGGGAGTCTTGGTTTTGGTCTTGTATTTGCTCATCCCCAGGTTTTTTAGTTAAGTTTATCAATTTACAACTCAAAATAAAGTATTTCCTTGTGACAAAGCAATAATTTTCTTGCATGGTTTCCTGCAAAAGATACATTTTTACGTCCTAATCAGATTATTATTCACGAATAATTAAGAGCGAACAATATACTATTATTAAAACTTTAATTTATGTAATATCCCGCAGAGCATGTAAAATTTAATACATGTTTACAGTACGTAATTTTAAACGAGGTATTTAAACAGATTTGAAATTAAAAAAAGAAGTACAAATAAATGTGTTCTGATTTTTTTTTATTTCTTTAAGAATTACTTATATCACAGCTTATATATAAGATATAAAGTCTTTAAAACACTCTTTAATGTATTATCCAGGCCGAGAGGGCTAATTTTCTCAAGTGACTTATATGTTATATAACACGCGAGTGCCAGACAAAATTTTATCCAACAGCAGAACTGTTTCCTGTCCAATCTCTAAAGAATATTGATTTAAAAGGATGTACCAGTTCTACTTTCATTGTTGTGAATTAATAAATGATCAGGGTGCGTTTATGTTACTATGCAATATAGATGTGCGTTTTCTTTTTTGTAAATAATAAATAGCACTGACATTAAGACGTCATTTAGATAAATCGCGATTTTTTAACGATACAATAGTGAATTATCAACCAGCAAGTCAGATTTTAAAGAAAAATGATTCAGGAAGATCTTCCTCAAGAAATTATTAACCAGGCAGAGGCGGCTACAGCACAAATACTGCCATAAAAATCTCGTGGCGTATATGATAGGGAATTCAAGCGTAAACTATACCTAAGTATTTCCTCATGCTTTGATGTTATATAGGTACACCCCCTTAGTATTTTTTGTACCATGATAATTTTTTTTAAATATATCGTTGAAAATCAATTTTATTTGTGCGTTTCGATTTGTTTAATAAAGCCGGTCCCACACGTTGTATTAACACCTTCCAACATTGGACACATGAACATTTGCCACATCGTGTAGGAAACACACTTGTGAATTGCAATATTGTCGAAGCCTATGCCAAATTGTGGCTAAATGGTGTGTCCAACGTTGGATTGTGTAGGACTGGCTTTAATATACATAGGCTTGAATTTAAAATAACAATGGTTTGAGCGATTTTATAATAAACAGAAATATTTTTTTTGATCTCCCTGTTTGTTATTCGATCAGTTGTTTGAGACAGATCGAATATTTCGACGCTCCTTAACATATAAACCAAATTTCAGCTTTCAATATGCCGAATTTATGATTTACCAATGCTCATTCAAGATCATCATGTTTTTGTCAATTTTACACATGTTTTATTTTTCATCTCGAAAACTATTGAAGATAGGTATAGGTCAGTGTAATAGAAAAATGGTGAGATATATGAAAGAAGTTTCGAAAAATGTAATAATATACCGGGTGTTCCATTTAAAGATGCTACCACGTTTAATTTGTAGAATTGCAGTATAAATGAACCATAAATCCCTAAGGAATAATTCGTTATGCTTATATTATCTTAAGCTGAAACATAAGCGGATATACAAGTATAGCACAAATAAGAATAGAACATGCTATCAGGAACATCATTCTACTCAGATCACCGCTTGTTTATCTTGCTGACAACTTTTTTGATCAAAAAATGAGGTAAAACACCAGGCAGTGTTATCCGTGTCTTCAGTTGTAGATATAACATTCCATCAAAAGCACCAACATACCAAAAATATATTTTCTTTAACTTTTTGAAAAAAAAGGTGCCTTTATAAGTTTATAGACTATCATTGTATAGAGTACACAATTTTAAAGTTGCAACTATTACTTTTGGAATATCAATAAACAATTCTTATATTTCTAGACACTCACCTAACATTTTACTGAGATCGGCATTGTGCAGGTCCGGATTTTCATCCGCCAACTTTTTCCTTTCCACTTTGGCCCACACCATGAAGGCGTTCATGGGCCTCCTGATGCGGGCCTCCTTCGTGGCTTTCTGGCTCTGATTAGGGCCCCCTAATTTCTGCCCGAATCCGGCCCTGGCAGCGTACACTGGCATGGCGTCCGCGTAGTTCGGCTGTCTGGCATAGTCAAACCTGAAAAGTCGTTTAATTTTACCGTGATTTTAGCTGCCAGCAGGGAAACAGTGTCTGAGTGTTACATACTCTAAGCCCACGGCCACACAGAAAGCGTTTTTAGCGTAAAGCGTCTTTAGCGACTAAAACAAATAACAGGATTATATGTATGGGAGTGGCTCCACCAAAAGCGTGTAGCGTTCGGCGTGTCTCGCAAAAAAAGCAAATGAAAACAAATCAGTTGTTTTCTGTAGCGTCTTTAGCGATTTCTATGAGACCCCGTCATAGGCGGACGTTATATTTAATAATACAATAAAAATAAATTAAATAGTATGCATTTTTTTTCATTTTAGGGTATTATCTAAAAATATTTTTATAGAGAACATCTACAGTTTAGGAAGATTCTATTAAATTCAAAAATTTGAAGGAAATGTTTGAAAAAGTGTAGTTTGAAATGTTGAAAAATTTATAAATTAAAGGAATATTTTCTTATGCGTAAAAAATAGTTTTTTTATGCGTAAAAAATAGTTTTTTTATGCGTAAAAAGTGTCTTTTTCTGCGTAAAAAAGGTTTTTTAGCAGAAACAAATATTTTTTGACGCGTAAAAAATAGTTTTTTACGTGTAAACTAAAAAAAATTTTTTTGGATAAAATATTTTTTTGACCAGAGACAATAAGTTTTTGACGCGTAAAAATTAGTTTTTGTACGTGTAACAAATAGATTTTTACACGTAACAAATAGTTTTATACACGTAAAGAATAGTTTTCTACAGTAACAAATACATAGTTTTATACGCTTAAAAAATAGTTTACTACCAGTAATAAATAGTTTTATACGCGTAAAAAATTGTTTTTTACTTGTAACAGTTTTATTCAAGTAAAATAATAAAAATAGTTTTTTACACGTAATAATTTGATTCACTTTTACAAAATTTGTATTAAAATATCAATATTTTTGATAAACACGTGGACTGCTCATAAATACACGTCGCATCACTACGAATTTTTAAGCCGTTAATTATTAATGATGTCCTGAAATTGCGTTAGCAACTAGTAATATTTACTATTCTATTATATAATTATAATTATTTATTATATTATATTATAATTATAACAAGTAACCACAACACTACAACATAAAAAAACTATACGCATATAAACTAAAATTCCTAAAATAAAAGGCAAATAATAATTATAATTTTTACACACACCACTGGCACTAGCAGTAGATTGTGCATGTTTGTCGCCTAATATATGCCCCGGCCCGTCCACAATTCAATTCCAGCATCTTTTATCTTCGTCTCTTTAACGCTAACTGCGCCGATCTCGCCTATCTCTTTCGCACAGGATTGATTGTTGAACGGACCGGGAATCCACGAGCTTGCAACGCCCCGTTACTAATTGACATTTTGATAGAAACTGCAGACCTGCCGCGTCTTTTGCGTGTTTTTAATGAACAAAAATCGAAAAAAAAAACGCTTAAAACGGTAAAATCGCAAAAAGCGCTTGAGACGCAAAAAACGCAAAACGCTAAAACGCTTTCTGTGTGGCCGTGGGCTAAGTCTTTTTAAAGAAATATGAAAACTTAAGTAATCAACTTACCGATTGTCGTACCCCCTGTAGTCGTTATAGGCTTCCATGGAACTCGCCCACATGTCAGTTTTAGGGAGGACTTGTGGTAATACCTGAGTGGTGGGGATCATATCTTGAGGATCTCCGCTGGTATAGTCTTGGGAGTACCTCCCTAGTTGGTACTGGGAAGTTAGAAGAGGTGAAGGAGAATTTGAAGGTGAAAGACAACTGCTGTAAGGATTGGACTGGCCTGAAGGCGATGGGGTACATGGGTGATCTTCCATTAAGCTGAAAAGAAATAATCTCCTTTAGTATTTTGGATTTCACATCATGATATATGATGGGTTCAGAAGTGTCAAGTCATAAAATGTAATTATGGAGAAAATGAGTTAAAGTTTTTTAATGTGACTTAAGTGAAATAAAACAGGTTGGATAAACAGGCTATAGTTGCTTAATACGAGAAGTATGACTTTATTTATTTCTTTACTGGAAAAAAAGCAATATTCTATAAAAGTACAAAGACGATTAACTTAAAATAGTAGAAAATTGGACTTAATCTATTTTAATTCTGACCACTTCATATATTACTAAGGAAAAATACTTAGAACTATAGTTGGGGGTTGGAACCTTTGGAAACATAGCAAAATAAAACACTAAATCACCATCATCAGCAGATGATTAAAACTTGAGCTTTAATCATCTGCTGATGATGCTAACATGGTTAACGAAACTCGCGTTCAGTATAAAAGTAAAAGTGTTTTGGTGTACCTACTTAGAACGCTAGAACATAGGAGTCCTTCATTTTACGTAGCATCACAGATAACACATAATGTAAATAAGTAATGATTATGTGTTATCTGTGGTAGCATATTCTAGGCGGTTTCACCATTGTTTTATTTTAAGCGGTTTTATTAATGCCATATTTAATAAGAAAGGTTTAACACATTTTGTTTAATACACGGATTTAACAAATCAATAACTGGTCGAGATCAGAAATCAAATTAAAGACATTGCTGATTAAGAATAGTCTTTGCGAAAGAATTTAAGTTGGAGAGCGTTGGAGAAGGATTTAAGGTTAGTTAATGGAAGATGTAAACGACCAACATATACAAAGTGTCTCAATATTCCGTGGACATTGAACTATTACGTATTTTTGGGGTCAAAATAAGTTCATTAGACACAATTTACCTCTATACAAAAGTGTATATAGCTTCCTTTGGACGCTAAAAGGCATCAAACTTTAAAAAAATAAACACATTTTTCAGATAAGAACCGTTATTCCTATTTGAATGAGATCTTTGGTGTCTATGTTTTGCTAAGTGAGACTTTCACAAAAATCGAGTAAAAGTATGAGAAGGGTTGAAACTACCCCCCACCCCTACATAAATTTTACTATAAATATTTTTTAACTCCACCGACGACAGATTTTCTTTTCAATAAAATTGTATATAAGAAATATGTCTTTGCTTTTTTCGTAAAATTGTATCTATATTTGGTAGGTCTGCTTTGGAAAAATAAATTCTCTAAAAATGTTTTTCCAAACCAAAAACTATGCGATGTAACGTTTTTACAAGAGGATAAAGAGAGGGTCAACTTTCGTTTAGCTGAAATCAGTTATTAGAAAAAAAAATTGTCTTTAAAAAGCTACTGTGGACCACGGAAAACACAAATTTTCCTGCGGAAATGCGTAATTTCCAAATTTCGCACTTTAGAATAATTGAAATCTGCTATAAAAAAATATATTTTGCGTTTTATTTTTAATATTTTTCTGAACATAAACAAACAAAAAAATTTTCCTGCGGAAATAAGCTGTTTTCATTTTCTAAGGAAATTTATTAGACTTTAGAATAGCTGAAATCAATTATATAAAAAATAAATATATTTTCGCCTTTTAGAAGCATTCACGAATTGAGAAAAATAAAAATTTTCCTGCGGAAATAAACTGTATCCATTTTCTGAGGATAATTATTAAAATATAAAAACTACAGCTTAACACCCTCCACAAAGAAAAGCTAACCAAAGCAACCCAAATCCTAACCAATCTAATAATATTTTTGCAAAATCACAGTTAATTATTAAAATATAAAAACTACAGCTTAACACCCTCAACAAAGAAAAGCTAACCAAAGCATCCCAAATGCTAACCAATCTAATATTTTTGCAAAATCACAGTTGATTTTTCAAATATAAAAGAAAACTGCATGATCCAAAGATTTTTGTTTTGAATCAGCCCTATTTACGTAAAGCTTTAATAAAAAACAAGGCAAGTGCAACATTCCGAGGTACTTATAGGTTTAAAAGAACCTATATTATCTATTCTACAAGAATTGTTATTCCTCCGAAAGATGTTTTACCCCACCCAGCACCCCTATTCGCTCCCGGGTCCTGTAAGCTTCTAAACTGAAAAATGTATGAAAAACAAAGTGCACAGAATGACATGACACATTTCCGCAGGAATTTGTTTGTATTTCTTTGCTCGTAAAGGCTCGTATAAAACAAATATAAGTTCATTTTTCATGTAACTGATTTCGGCTATTCTAAAGTCGAAGCATTTTTTTATGTAAAATAAAAATAAAAAATTTCCGCCGACACTTTTTTGTGTTTTTATGTTTAGAAAAATGTCTAAAACACACCCGAAGACTAGTTCTGATGTAACAGATTTCAGCTATAGGTACTAAAGTCCGAAAAAAGAAAATGACGCATTTCCGCAGGAAAATTTTTGTATATTTGTACTCCTAACGCCTTCTAGAACGCATATATAAAGACATTTTTTTATATAACAGATTTCAGCTAAACGAAAGTTGAGCCTAAAGAGATTTTTGGGAAAAACATTTTTAGAGAATTTATTTTTCCAAAACAGACGTACACAATATACATGGAGTTAGGTTAGGTAATATTCCGTGGACATAGAGCAAGTATCTATGAATTTTTTTAATCAAAATTTTTATGAAGCTTATTGTCAAATATAATTTGTTATACTAACATAAAATGTTATATTTTGGCCAACAAGATTATTAAAAACATAATACATTTTAGGCGCCTCTGTAGATTAATGTGGCAAAAAACATTTTTGAAAGTCGGCTTCCCAAAAATTTTTTTTTTCCTTAAAAAGTATGTGCGGTGGTATTTTTTAAAAGAGATAAAAATGTAGTAAATACTAGAAGGACCATTTTGCGGTTGAGTTGGATAATATTTATTCTAAAATTTATGTAATGGTGGGGGTAGTTTTCACCTTTCTCGTGCTTTTTCTTGATATTGCTGAAAATCAAATGTTAACGCACTTTGCAAAACATAGACACCCAAAATCTCAATAAAATCAGATTAGAAAATATATTTCTTTTGTATAGATTTCCTAAGGGGTGGTAGACTCATTAGCGTAACTAGCAATTTATCCTCCGAGTTTTAGCCCAGGGGGGGCCCGGTGCTTCTGCTTTTTTTAAATGAAAAATAACTTTAAAAAACACATTTTTTGAATAAAACGTTTATATGAATTTCTCTATCAATAAATTCATAGACTTGGTTATCAAACCGTGTTCCCGTAGATTACTTAAATACCTACAAATTTTCTAAAAAAATAAAAATTAACACATTTTTTGAACACAACAAAATAATATTAACTAAATAAAACTAGAAAACGTCATTTTTACTGCATCACAAGCAGATAAAAATTAATACGTAGCCAAGAGTCACAATTCAGGATTTCTCTGGGGGGTGCCCAGCAGTACCTGGGGGGGGGCACCCCCGGGCTCCCCTGTAGTTACGCCAATGAGTAGACTACTACACCATAGGAAATACCATTATAATTTTTAGACAAACTTCTCATTATTTGGACAGTGATTCAGAAATAAAAACAACAAAATTGGACATTTCCAATCTATATAAAAACATGTTTTTATGGACTTTTTAATGAACAATTTTTTACATGTATACAAGACTGATTATTTTCCAATTTTTTAATAACTTTGAGAACTATTACAGCACGTTTTTTATTTCTTTTTTAACAAATAAAATGTCGATAATTCGCTTTTTTGCTTTTAAATGAGAGGAGAGTCGCTATTCTATGGCGCGGCGGCAGGTCAAGGCAAAGGAGAAGGTTCTGAAATGTCCTTTAGTGAACAATAGAATGTTTGTGTTACAGATTTTAGCATATTTTCCCCTTTGCCCATATCTTTTGCTTAGGAAATGCAACATTTTTTGAAGAAAATTATTTAAAAACTAAAGTATAAAATATATTAATCACAACACTGAGAAAAAGAAAGGATGTATTCTGTTAGATAAACATTTTTCATGCTTGAAACAAACTACAGGGTGTTTCAAAAAACATGTACATGCTATATCTGGTGGGGAGATTCTTCACGTAAAAATAAAATTTATTTTTGTAAATCAAAAGTTCTGCTTTGATTCGTAGCTACGGAGGGTTAATTTTTTTGCTTTATTATAATTATCTTCCAACTGCGAGGAAAAAAAGTCTTTTTAGTTTTTTTAGAAAAATATTCCAGTGATAACACTTATGCACGTCCCTAGTGAATATGTCGATACTTTTTTAACATTATGTAGTACTTTTTTAAAATTTGTAACATTAATAGTAACTTTTGCCTTCAAAATTTTATTCCAATCGCTAAATTTCTCCTCGCTAGAGATGGTTCGTGTTTTTTGAAACACCCTGTATATACTTTCAGTTTATAAAAAATGATAACATAACAATACTTAGTTTACCTAGTGCAAAAATGATTTATCTTGACTGACACTAAATCATATTCTAAGGAAATTAATTGTACCGACTCAACCTTGACACCTAAACATAAAATGATTGATTATTATAAAATGAGATACAACAGGGAGATTCCATGAGAATAGTATTGCGGTAGGTATATTTACTTTTTCTTTTATTTCGACAAATTCAAACACAAGAAATAATCATAGAAATGTATATAAAATTTTATACGAATGATAATTGAAGGTTTTAAAAGAACAGCTCTGTGATCCCCGAAGTAATGCAAAACATTTCCAACAGTTGCAGATGGATACTAAGTAAATCCGTTTTGCCAATTCCTTTCAGCCTGTTGAAATACCAATAAACATGAAATATGTAGGTACTTATTGAAATCATGATGGAATATTAAGTACTTATTGAATAAGTGATGGAATATTGAAACTCTCACAGAATGAAGTTGTAAAAATATATAAAATTTTATGGAGAACTCATATACAGGGTGTCCTAATATTCTGTGGACATAGAACTACTACGTATTTTTAGAATCAAAATAAGTTCATTGGATACAATTTAC